CCTGTAAAAACCCCACGGCAACTAAAAAAACGCGCCGATATATATATATTTAATTTTAATTTGTCTTACTGAATGCGGTGGTATTGCACGGCACGTTCCAACGCCATTCCCTACAGCGACGCCTGAGCCGGCAGTGCTCCGAGGGGGCCCCGCTCCCTCCTCCCGCAACGCGGGGCTGCCCCCGCCCGACACCCGCTGCCCGCTGTCCGAGCTGCCCCTCTGCTGGACGGCAGCTGCCACTGCAGGGAAAGAAACCTCCCAGCACCTCCCTCAGCCCGAAGTGATCAGGATGGGGACGGCGGGCTAGCAAAGAGAACAGAAACATGAAGTATTGGGTGCTCGAAGGCTTAGCAGTTAGCATTCGTTTTAAATAGCAAGCAAAACTTAAAAAGAAAAAAGAAATCCACATGCAATTTTCTCCCTCGAGATGGAAAAAAGTCTCCTGCTTCACGTTAACTCATGTCTTTACTGTAATGTGTCTGTGTGGATACGCTCTACCCTACACTGGAGTAATGGTTGCAAAAGGTCTTGGATCAACAGATGGACCTACAACCTTTTCCATGGGCTGTTTCACACCATGGATTTACACTAAATGAATTCAAAGTCATTTTCTATTCAACACAGCAAGCACTAATGCTGCAATGAGCAGTGCAGGGAACTTACCTGCCCACAGACTACAGTTTGTAGCAGTTGCTCTACAGTGAGCTTGTGTGATCTTCCCACTTTTTACAAGAGCTCACTCAGCCCTCACAACTTTTAAGAGACAAAAAGGAACCAAGGTGTCTGAGAGCACTGGGCTGGTGCTTGGGCAGCCAGCACTCAGCTCCACTACCATGAAGTTCTTCCACAACACGGCTCCATTGCCTGTTGTCCATATAACCTGGCACAACCCAGCCTCTGGCTTTGTCCTTCCTTCCAGCACAACCTTTGCTGGCAGCACAAGAAGCTTAGGAAAAGGAATGTATTGGGGTTAGCCTTTTTTTTCTTCTTTCCTATACAATATCTACATTAGACAAACTAACTTTAATTTTGGGGTAGGGGTGTTAAGTAGCAAAAACAGTGATCATGATCCACAACTGAGTCTCTATGAGTGGGTAGCAATTGATACACAGCTCTCCCTCTAATCCTTCATAGAAATGTTCTGTATCCAACTGTGAAACAGACTGTGGCTCTGATCTGCTTTGCACTGAATTCTGTCCCATTCTGCAGAAGCAACACCAACAAAAATTAACTGTAAGACACCAGGCAGGAAGCACAGTCAATAGATCTGAACATTTCTTGCATTGTACATATGGTCATAAGGATTTTTGTGTAAAGCCAGGAGTTGGACTCGATGATCCTAACGGGTCCCTTCCAACTCAGAATATTCTATGATTCTATGAATGTGTACGTTTACCATCAAAGCTAAATTTACAGTATATTTGCTATTAAACTAATGCAAAGACTCCAGGTAAGAAACCATAGCATGAAATATCTGTTGCAACTATACATTATGAATTGGTCAGTTTTCAACAAAGATGTATTATATTTGTTTCAAGCAACAACTACTGGTATGTAGCAGAAGGGACAGTTGCCCACAGTTGAGTGAATAGTACTGAAACAACAAATGTGCCTTTGCTTTCTGAAATACTGTCCACAAACCACATTTCTGGTAAAAGGGAAAAGTTACAACAAAAAACAACAAGCAAACAATACTACCAAATCTACATTCAGACTTTAGAAGCCTTGTAAGAAAATTTAAGTGCAAATAGAGAAAAGATGCAAAATAATATTTTTTGCTAACCAGAATATAGTTTATAACCTCAGCCTCCCTGAACTACACTGAAGTCAGAGGAAAACAAGCCAGTCATTGATTCTTGATACAAAACTCTGCCTCCTTGCACACTTGTGCACTCTGTTAATATTTCAGACCTTTTATATCAATATATGGGCAAAACATAATAGAGTTGGAGATCTGTGAGAGGGAGGTTGAAGTGATTGGGAAGTACTTGGGAAGGAGGAAGAACAGTGCAAAAGTCATCCCCTTCCATTTCTGCCTTTTCATTCCCTTTGAATACTGCAGCTGTTGACAAGTGAAAGTTGGAATCAGATTGTTGAAAGAGCACAAGGAGGAAAGCAGATGGTGGGAAGAAGGGGGTTGTCACAACTGCATACTGTTTATTAAATGGAAGAACGCTGTACATTCTCTCTCCGACTTTTAGCTCTGAAGAAAAAAAAAAAAAAAAGAAAGGAAAAAGGAAAATCCCAGTAACTATTTCCCCCAGAGCAGTAAATAATAAATTGGGTAGTGCAGCTGGAGAGGGGAGGTAGAAAAGTTGAAAAGAAAAGCAGACATGCCGCTTCCTGCAGCAGCGAGCTATCAGATGGCTCAGTCCTCCCCTGGAAACTCACCCTGAGATAAGTTAAAATTGATGGCAAAAACCTGGCCTGGACAGAGGAATCCATGGCTGTTCCAGACTCTCATCATCCCCACAGCTGTTGCAGCTCCATTGGGATCGTGCCACCCAGAGGAGCAGATTGCTTTGTATCCCTCACATTTCTGCCACGCTAGGGCTGCTGTCATTGATACCAGGTAAGTTCATGCTACAGCTCTGATACAAATCAGACACCCATCAAATTTAGTAGAACCCATGTGAGTCTTCAGGCTGCAGGAGTACAAGTTAGAATAGTAAAAACAGATATACAGTACAAGGATTTTGTATAGAAAGGGAGTTACTTTTATTTGAAAACAACCTACCACCCTGTTCCCAGTCTTGTATTGCCTCCTGCTGACAATGGTTTCTGAACAGTATAACTGTAGACTGTCCCAGATGGAAGAGAAATTCAGAATACCTTAGCTAGATTAGCTTCCCAATCCATCTGACTACACAGTGTAGAAAAGAAGTCCCACAGCAGGAATGAGTGACCAGGAAAGCCCAGCAGCTGCACTACCACCACTTGCGCAGTGTGAGGCATCTAAAATCATTCACTTCAAAACCACACTGTGCGTGTTTGCACAGTGTCAAGAAGCACAGACCTTGTCAGGAGACTGCCAATAACATACGGGACATTCAGCAATTTGCTAATGACGTTTTTATACTGCACACACACACACACACTTAGTGCCGTTTCAATACAACATCGCTTGTTATTTTGGAGAAAAGGCTGATCCCTACCTCATCACAACCTCCTTTCAGGCAGCTGCAGAGAGCAATAATGTCTCCCCCGAGTCTCCTCCAGACTGAACAATCCCAGCTCCCTCAGCTGCTCCCCGTAAGACTTGTGCTCCAGACCCCTCACAGCCGCATTGCCCTCCTCTGGACACTCCAGTGCCTCGATGTCTTTCTTGCAGTGATGGGCCGGGTTATACGTCCGCTGCACTTTCAGCCAGATTCCTGCCATGTGCTCATGAGTGAGCCTTCAGTCCAGATTACGGATCCCACCCAGCCTGGCTCTCCAAATCCATCTGGTGCAGAGACAGTTCTGTTGCACCACTGAGCTACGCAGAAGTACACAGGCAGTAGGTTTATTCCTTTCTTGTCACCTCTCTCTGTTCAAAAATCAAACTCGATATTTTAAAATACCTGGAGCTTAAGTGAGCCTGTTTGACTTTATCCTCAACACTGTGAAGGAAACACCTCACACAAGCAGTATCATTTCAGCTGGTTGGAAGCAAATGCTAAATAAAAGATTACCGTGGGTTCTGCTGTCTCTCATGTAAAACTCAAATCCCCAATCTGGTCACAAAAGTAGTAGACTAATACATTTCTACAGCAAAATTCAGAGCTGGGTCATAAAAGCAGAAATGTAGAAAGTATTCAGTTGCACAGATCATTTTCTCTTAGAGAGGAAAAGAGCAGAGGCAGAAGAACGAGTCCAGAGAGAGGAAAGCATAAGGCAAGTACAGAAGTGGCAGGCTTGATTAAGATGAAAGACTATGGTCGTGCACCTAGAAAAACAAAATAAACCAGCCTGGCCATGAACAAAGTCATACATTTAATAGAAGCACTTTGTCAGTTTGATCATCTCCACTCAGGAAAAATAGTGGATGAAGCCACACAAACGGTACCTCAACAGACAGCACCCTGCAGGACTGGTAATGTACTTACTTGCAACCTTGAAATGAGAGACTTTTTAAAAATAGGTTTTCTGGTAACTAATTCTTTGATCTCTCTTCATGTTGTTGCCAAGTGACACGCAACCAGCTGTAGCCACTCACACATAAGTGGCATCGGCTACACTATCATGTCTCCTATGCCCACACTGTAAAGCTGTAAATGATAAATTGTGTGTGTAAATGATAAATTAGTGCCATTTTAAAAGAAATATAAAGCTATTAGCAATACATACAGAAAAGTAAATTCACATTTGCTTCAAAAGGAACTTGGGTAACACCTTAAATAAAACTTTTTCCTCAATCTGTATATCTGCATATGCTCAGATTAAAAGAACCAAATGTAGTTTTGAAGAACCATTATGCTGTTCCTACAGTCAGGCGAATGAGGTAGTGAAGAACTTCATTTCAACAGCTTTCTCCTTGGTCATGTTGACATCTTTTGAGTTTTACTTACAGAAAATCTCATGAAGCTAGGGTGTTGATTTCAGTGTGTAATCCCTTCAATTACATATTATGTGCTCATTTTCATTAATTACCAAATGTTAAAGACAACATAGATTAGCAAGACGAGTCATTGTACAGAAGAATTTAAAAAATGCACTGAATTTACAGACTCCTTTGGTAAAATTTACTATAGAAGAGATACACTGACAAAGTACAAGATGGCTTACACAGCATCCACAAAATAAAACACGAACAGCCCCTTCTCCATCCTCCCTCCCCCAAAGAAAATTGATGAGCAGACATTCCGTCCATTCAAAGGCACTCAGCTTGCATTTCTGCTGTTTGGTTGTTAAGTTTGGCAGATAGCGACTTGCTACTGCTTTCATCACTTGCTGGCCAAGCAATCTCTTCAAAGGTTTACTTAACACAATAAATCATACACCGTGGTCAAGCACAAAAATATATGTAGCTGGTACAGAATATTTATTTTGAAAAGTAAAACATTCACAACCTCACAAAATTTGAATCTACCAGGCTAGGCCTTTGGCTAACTTTGATTTTTTCTTTCCTTTCAAGCGCTGTGCCTTAAGCTTCTTTCTCTGCCTGGAATTCATCCATATTGGATACTGTCCATGTTGGTCTAGGAGAGTTTTTTTATTTCTTTTATTATCTATGTCCATTTTGCAGTCATCTGAAAAAGAAAGGCATTTATAGTCAGTGAAACGCATGAAAAGCTTCACGGAAGCTATTTTCTTCTAAGATTCACAAACATGATGAGATCTCCATAAACAACAGTATTTGTACAGGAAGAGCAGAAGGCTTCATACATTGAAAGCCCTTTGCAAACCAATATAACTGCAACCCAGGAACTTCAACGGCTGATAGTAAATATGAAGAATTTCTCCTAAAGGCCCACAGCTGGGCAAAGCAAACTTATTCTACAGTCTGCCTTATGTTCTAATATTGCATCTAAAAACATTGCCTGTGATCTCCACCATAAGCTACAAGCTTAGAGGAAACCAGTGGCTTACTACAACATAAGTACAGTTAAACGCTTTGAAGTATAATGCTTGAGATCCAAGAAAGTTCTATAAAATTAAATTGAGTGATAAAGACAGATAAAGAGGTGGCTGTCTTGGTGAAACAACCAGGCTACAAGGGGAACATCTTGTTAAGTACAGATTTGAACAGCCCTATACTATTTACTTTCAAACTTGGCTCCAAGTTTTCCACATACAACTCTAAAAGCTTTATCAGAAGCTTAACTGAGTGGAAGAAGATTTTTTTAATGTTGTGTTTGTTTAATGTTGGAAAATAAAGTTCACGAAGAAAAGGCCAACATACTGCTTCAGTAGTTGAAGAATGCTGACAGTCTACAGGGATCTGCACCACAGAGGTGTGTTTAGGTGCCCTAAAGCTGGGATAGGAATACACGTAGCCTGCAGAAAACCAGCACAGGGGGCTACTGTCTGCAAAGGTGGGCACACAAAAAGGGCCCAGTCCCAAAGACTTCTCAAGACATCAAAGAAACACAAAGTCTTCATAACAGCATGGTTTTCCAAGTGTCATAGCTGGTCTGTCCCAGACCAAAGATCCAGATGTTGTGAGCAACAGCTAAAACATGGAGGGGAGAAAACTTTCCACAGACCTGGAGAATGCAGAAACAGGCAATGAGAACTGCTACTGCTCACATAAACCGCTATTGCTTTGCAGTGCAGAGATATAGCATCACTTTTTTTTTTATTACTACTTCTCTGAAAGAGTGGTCAGGCACTGGAATGGGCTGCCCAGGGAGGTGGTGGAGTCACTGACCCTGGAGGTGTTCAAGGAACGTTTGGATTTTGTGTTGAGGGACATGGTTTAGTGATTGGTGGATGGTCGGACTGGATGATACTGTAGGTCTTTTCCAACCTTGGTGTTTCTGTGGGTTTGTTTTTTCCTCTCGTTACAACAGGAAGAAGAAAATACCCATAGTACCAAGCAGTACACAAGTAACATCTTGTAAAAATCTGCTGCATGTAAGTCAAGAAATAAACCAGAGCTATTTGATATCCAAACTTTCCAAAAAAAATAACAACCACAGCAATAAAGCTACAAAATAGCTTGTTTTCAATTTGGTTTGACTTTGCTGTCAAACAAGTAATTCCTAATTTCACACATCATTAGGCTGACTTTAAAAGAAGTCCTTGAACGCTATCTCTGAATATGTGTATTTTTTACATAGCCTCTATTTCCAACTTTAAGATGGCTTATAGGTTCTGCCACTCAAACGTATAACCCTCCTCTGTCTTTCCTAAGCAGATAGAACTGCCTGTGTGGCTGACAGTCACTACTGGCAGTATTTCAGATCCTCGCTGCGTCCATGGCAACCCGCAGTTAGCGCCAGGTAGGCTGTCAGGAAAAGGGGGCACGGTTTAGTTTGGATTGCGACTTCGTTAAGATGCCTGACCACTTCCCAACATGCAAAATCTTCGTTCCCGCTTCCTGTTACTGATTCCAGCGGCGGAGCCGACGCGCAGGCGGCTCACGCCACGAGGAAGGCGGGCAGGGGCGGGGAAGCGGGCCGGCCGGAGCTCCGAGGGCGGGCTGTAGGCAACCGGGGGCCGGCGGCACCTGGCTGTCCGACTCACCCTGCTTCTCCAGGACCTCCTGGGCGGGCAGCACGGTCGCCACCTCCTTGACCTCCTCCATGACGACGTCCGCGCCAGTCCGCAGGATGCTCTTCAGTCTCTCCAGCTCCTTGGGAGCGTTCTTCTTCCTCTTCTCCGCCCGCATCTTCCTCTTCCATTTGCTCCTCAGGCTCTTGGCCATGTCCTGAAGGAGGAAAGAAGCGGGGAGCGGTAAGGCTGACGCCGCGAGGACGCCCCTAAAGCCCCAAGGCCCACGACTCGCCTCAGCCCCGCGCCAGCACCACGCTCTGCCCCTCGCGGCGCTGCTCTCGCCGTCTGCGCAGGCGCGGAGGAGAGTCACGTGATGCGGAAGTCCCGCCTCTTCGCGGGTTCTACCGTAAGTCTGCGAGTGCGGTGGCAGCAAGAAACTCACGGGCGCAAGGAGAATAGTCGGGATTTTATTTGGGCTACTTCTACACATTCCTTAATCTGTAAGACAGAAAAATCATCCCGCTCGCCCGTTCTAGCTATACTTAGCAATATTCTAAGCAAAGCGCCAGCATGGAAAGCACCCGCTGTCCTTGCTGCTGGTAGGAAATGGAATGCTTCTTAGGCGTCTGGGAATCTTTCTGCCAGCACCTCACGGGATTCCAGTGCTTCGACATTGAGCAAGAAGAAAGAAAAGACTTCAAAGCTGCCAGCTGCTCCAGGGCTCCAGCAGCTCTGTATGGCACCCACGTGCCGCTGCCTCACCCCAGCTGCAACAAGTGGCCTAGCAGTGGGAATTACGTCTTCCATCCATGCTCGGCTGCAAGAATTGACAGAAGATTTTCTAATTTTTTTATTGAGAGACCATTAACCTTAGCATACACAAGAATCCATCTTCAAATGATTTTCCAAAACACCGAAAGATAGGCAATAAATCATCCTTAATGAATGCAGAACATTCCCATGAAGCGACCTCATAATCTCCCAGCTCACATAAGGGCTCAATGTTGAGAGCAGAACCTCCCTTTCACAGACAGCATTCCATTTTACCAAACCAAGACTAGAAGAAATTTTAACTTAGTAAAACACTGCACAAACATCACTTCCATCTGCCTTTATGCTGCTTACTCTGCCAATCACTCTTACTCTGCCAAGAGGAAATATTTCCAGCAGCTACTGAATTACAGTCAGAGACTTTCCGAGCATGCTCTGGAGCAATCAGAAATTGGCAAACATTTTAATCATGAATTACACCAAGTGCAAATTAAGTAAATAAAAAATGGAGTGTAATTAATTGGATACACGACATCAACTAAACAAAATACATATTCTAGAGAAGAACTTAGACTTAGAGCTTCCCCCTCACCTCAAAGGAGGGATGAGTACCCATGTAATGAAAGAGAAATAAAGATTCAGTCTCTAAAAGATGAGAGCACACAGTTTGTAGATCATCCAAGCCAACACTATTCAGGTTCTTCAATCACATCCCTGTTTATTACTTTTTATTAAATGCCTCCAATAAGCGTAGCAGGTTGAGGAACAGATTGATGATGTCCAGGTAAAGGTTGATTGCAGCCAGTATGTATTCTTCAGGGGATAACTTGTGCATCAGCAAGTGAGTATCATAAATAATAAATCCACAGAAGAGAAGTGCTCCAGAAGCAGCAAACACCAGCTCCATTATTTCACTATGAAAGAACAGCTGAAGACAAACAAAGCATGAAAAAAAAAGAAAGTAAATTTCATTTTCTTCTTAATATTAAAATTTTGCATTGAGATATGCCACACTTGAAACGTAGATACATACTGTCCTTTCACTGCTATGCACACACACAAATAGAGTAGTAAAATGACATTACAATATTCTTATGTCATATAGTTCCCAGTCATACAGTCTCTTTAACTAAGTGAAGAGTGTCTTAAGAGAAACCAAACTCTGTTCTCCAGAATAGTAACAACAAAAGACAAATTAAAAAAAATAATCAGATTAAGACTCAATTCTCCTTCCCCTTTCCTCAGAGCAGTAGTGCATCTCAACTGACAACACTGTCAATCAGCTCAACCACCACTTTAATATCAGCGAGACCAGCATCCACCAAAAATATGAATTGGAAATGAATAGTTAAAAGATTACCAGCATAATATAAAACAGCAATGGATTTACCTGGGAAATTTTTACAAGAAAATATTTTTAAAATATTTTAGTTATAGTAGAAGTTAGTACAGGATTTAAGCGAAATAATATTTTTAACTTTGATCAGAAGGTATCTTACCATCAAGAAACATGAGAAGATTAAAATCCACAAGCAAGCAAAGAGCCTGAAAAAAAAAAAATATCTGTGAGCAATAACAATGCCTTTTGTTTTAAATTTTATTTAAAGTCTCTTCTAGTAATTAAAAGGATCTTATAAGTAAGAGGGAAATCAACTTTTTACATGGGTAGGTAGCGACAGAACAAGGGGGGGATGGTTTAAAACTAAAAAAACAGGGAGATTTAGATTAGATGTTAGGGGGAAATTTTTCACTTAGAGAGTGGTTGAGGCACTGGCACAGGCTGCCCAGAGGAGCTGTGGTGCCCCATCACTGGAGGTGCTCAAGGCCAGGCTGGATGGGGCCCTGGGCAGCCTGAGCTGGTGGGGGCCAGCCTGTCCACTGTAGGGAGTTGGAACTGGGTCCCTTCCAACTCAAGTGCCATTCTATGACTCTCCTCCCATAAAACCTCCTTACAATATATTTGGTAAATGCCCAAAATTCTTAGATGCCAACTGTTCATTGGCATTAGCTGTAGAACTCTGTTTTACAGAGCTCTCAAAAATTATCTCCTAAATGTACTGTTAAATTTGAAACAGCTCCATTCTGTATTGGTGAAAAATACAGCTAATCTGGTTTTCTAGTGTAAATATTATGGTTACAAGAATCATAATAATTGTAAGTGTGCTACACTAAAAAAAAATAATTATTCAAAAGAACAGAGCCAAATAAAACTAATAAATTAAGATGATTAACACCCTCACCATTCTCTTTCACAGGTTAGCTACTGACCTGTATTCTTTACTAAATCTGCAAAGCTTGCTTTAAAAAGGAAAAAAAAACAAGCTTAATAAAAAAATAAAAATCTCATTGCTAAGAGAACATACCCTGCTCCAAATTTGCTGAAGTCTCTCTTTGACTGCAAGGTGTACACAGTCAGCCCAAGAAATACAGCAGTCGTAAGAATGAAGGCTTGCAAGACGATGGACACGTCATAGAAACTCACTATAAACAAAAAAAGCAAACTGTCATTTAGAGAACACTACCCTATGCATTTGCTAAGTTATCTCAGCAGTGGAGAAACTACTGAATTATTTTTTTTCATCCTGTGATTGTTTGCATTTCTGCGAGCAGGAAGTGTAAATTATGCCTCAACTTGGTTTACTGCTTCAGGTGACCACATGATTCACAGACCCTTGCACTAGTCATGGCATTTGTAGCGTAGTTGTAACTTCTTAAATAAAGATAACAGATCTTCTGTACTCACAAAAGAAAGGGTAACAAAAATTATTTTGTATACTGCAGAGTGACATCTTAAGTAAAAGGCTAGCTGAACTTTTCATTGTATTCAAACAAACACATTACAAAACAGTCCTCAAAAAAAACTCCTAAGCATTATGACAAGGAAGTAAGAGGGAAAACATAAGAAGTGGTTGGATCTTTTTTCTTCCTGCCTTCCTTTTTTAAGTACATTTCCACAAATGATATTCTTATTTTTGCCACTAGCAAGTCAGCTCTGCTGAAAGATGCTTTATAGGGAAGCACTGCTAGTTACTCCAAAAGAATGGATGGAAGTTTATTCAAGTTCATACAGCTTCAGTCCTGGGCCAGAACCCAAATTTCCTATTCTGATATACTCGGGTTTTTACTAGATTCATATCATCATCATTTAAAATTTTTAATCATCTTAACATCTCACTGAGGAATCTCACATGACAATTAGTATAATATAATGGATTCCTTTTCCAGTTATTTAAGGAATCAGAGAACAGGATGGCTATCATTTACCTGTAATGGCAACTGTAAGTGCTTCCAGGAGGGTCTACAAAAAGTAAAAACAAAAAATTACATGAGTAAAATAAAACACCACCACCACTTGCACGGAGACTTCACACACACTAAGATCTATTCTGCCACATAATCCCAATATGTATAACATAGATCTCCTGATAATTTCTATACATGATAACATGCTTCATTTTCAACAAGGAAATGACAACTGTATCGTCTTACTATTCTGGATGTTGCTATGATATGTAACAAGAATGAAATATAAACTGAAAATGAACGCATGACAACAATTGTGGAAAACTGCCATCCAGGTTTTCTATTCAGAGCACACAGCATTCTTACCACAATCCTTACAATCTGTTCAAGGGGGCCTGAAGATTTCTCAGAACTGCTATTAGAAATGAACTGTTGCCACCTTTCTGTATACATTTCAATATTCAAAATACTTCCATCAAACACTCTTAGTATCTTACTTCACAGCTTAGTGTCAAGTTCTTCCCCTCCTCACTCATCAAGCTAACTTAAAATCAAACGTATTAGTGATGCCTGGACCGAAGACTGCCATGACTCCTGAATTTTCCTAAAAGGTAATTTCAGTTTAAGTTTCATTACAAGAAAATAGGAGAAAGTATCTGTGGCATGAACTAAGAGATCAGAAACAACAGCACATTTCACTCAATTTATGCAATTTTTAATCTTCCTGTCCCTGTACAAAGTCGTGCTTCAACTGCCATGCCACAAACTGCCACACCACATTTCCTGAAACTCTTACAGCACTCCCTCTTACAGTTGCAACCATTTAAAGTTGTTTTTTCTTTTTAAATAATAAAACAATAATTTTTTAAAAAATTACTCTCTGGAAAGAGATCAGACTTCAGGAAGAACACAAACCTGATATAACTAATCCCCCTATAAACTTACACAGAAAATCTATCTTCCCATTGTATGCAGATAAAATTTAGGCAGCCTCTAAAGCATCAAATTCTAGTGATGGTGCTGCTGTGACTTCTTTTCAGCAGACTGATTTGCTTCACAGTCCAAGATGTTCAGGAGCAACAGTTAGCCTACGCCTACCATCTGCAGGCAGGAGACTGAAATCTGAGGATAGCTTTGTTTGACTTGCTTGTGTTGGATAAGAATTAAGCATTAACACATACAGCTGGCTTATATGGTCCTCTGCTGGAGGCTGCCCACTAAGCAAATAAGGCAAGCTTTCTTCTTTACTACTGAGCAGCGTCTTAGAAACCGATAGGAACAGAACAGCGAGGGTAGCAAGATAAATACAGATATATAAACAGGAACACACATAGACAAAAATAAATCTTGTCCATCTGATTTCAAACCCTAACT